CTTGAGTCTTAGAGACTGTTAGAGACAGAATGAATGTCTGCAATATGTTATTATACAAGTAATTGATTTTGTTTATCGGCATCATCTGTACCAGTTGATTAGATCTCTCTTTGAAACCCTTTCTTTCGAGCTTTACCAAATCCTCGTTGCTTAAGTGACAAAGAGTTGCGAAGTGAAAACAGCGAATGAAGTATTAAGTTTGTATCGAGTCTTCGAAACGATTTCAGTATCATTTGCTTCAACTTGGCATCGTTGGTACCTTCCTTTTCTTTTAGAACACTCGGTGTATATCTGTATATATACATAAATTCGCGGTCGCGAGAGCGGCTAATTGCCGGGAATGTATCTTCCCCCCCCCCCTCACAAAATTCGCTCGTAGTCCAAAGAATTGCTCCGAGAAAGCTAATCCCCCGCCGAGTTTCTCGCTCCTAAGGCCACAGTCTCGTAAATTCAACGAATCTCTCTCAATGCGCGCTAAGATTTAGTTGAAAAAAAAAGAAGAAGGGAAGAGCCGCGGGAGAAGGAGTGAGTCATTCTGCAGCCCGACAGTCCGGATTATTGCAGTATTAACCCTCATCTCGGCGAGGTTCTAAAGTTTTCTTGCGAAATCTTAAAGACCCGTCTCGTCTTCGGGTTTTCTTCGCGCTTGCTATAAATACGACAACGCCGGATCTTCCGACTATCGGTCGACTAAATTGGCATCGATTCGTAATGATTTTACAAAATTTTAATCGATAATAAAACAGCATAATTTTCTTTCCAAACGGGTGACTTTTAAATGCCTCACTCGATTGCGACGAAAGAATTATGCGTATTATTATTAACAATCCGCTTTCTCGATTGAGCTCGCGCCGAGTTCATGTGTTCTTTCTGCAAAAATAGATCCGTGACAAATGTTCAAAAGAGGGACACGTCGGAAAAGACCCGTGATAGATACGCGCGGGGCACATCGGCAGGCGGCGGTCGAAGTTGGACCACCCGCCTACAAACCGCGGCAATAAAATGAATTTATCGATGCCGCAAAACGGCAACTCCTTACTCGCTCTCCTCCCGCGGTCGTACTTCATTTTACCGATATTAAATGCTGTAAATTCAGACCGCCAAGCTCCCATCTCTCTCCTTTCTCTCTCTCTCTCTCTCTCTCTTTTTCTGCCCAGTTCGCGCCCTGGCTACCTGCGTCGCCGCAGGGTGCTCGGGGGGATCGATGGACCCTTGTGTTTTGCGTGCGTGTGTGGCGCAACGACTTTGTCGTACGTCGTCGAGCTCGTCTTGACAGCGGTTATTAACACGTAAAACGAAAGGCTTAACAATGCAAATTAAAAAAGAAATGATTCGAAAAGGTACGAAATATCAGTTGCTCTTATCTCTTCAGTGGTTTGTCATTTTATGCTTTGATAATTGTTGTCGGGTCGAATCTGACGAGATGGTTGAACGTCTAAGCGACAAGTCACCACGGTATTATTAATGCTCGAGCTTTCAAAATCGATTTCCTTGTAAACGAAAGCTCGTACGAAGAGAGCTTACGGCTGAAACTCTATAACTGTTATTGCACGCGTATATCCTCTCTTTTTCCCCGGTGCTTTTCTTTATATTTCATGTCATAACATAATTTGCAGCGGGTGCACACTTTCTCTGTAGTATCGAATAACCGGAGTTTAGATTAAAATAATCATAAACGTGCAACGTGTAAATCAAACACGAATTCCCCTTGAGTTGAAAGTTTAAAAGCATAATTTTGGTAGTGAATTCAACCGTGCCACTGTTGCGGCAAAAATAGACCTGCCGCTGTTTTCCAACTATATCGCATCGTACAAAATAATTACATTGTTTTATATTTACGTTACGTGTAAAATAATGGGATTACGAAAGCTTTATGGTACCCAAATAACTCGTTGTATCGCCGCGATGTACATATTAGGCAATTACATCGTTCTGCAGTTATATTGTATTAATTAGATAATGCCGTGACCGTCAATCGAGATAGAATCATTTACGGATCTCGCGGCAAGGTCTATCGGATAAAATTGCGACGCGTTAGTCGAACTGATCGCCGCGTCGCCTCGTTGACCGCAGCCGCGCGTTGTCGCGTCGAAATTTCATTCAGGATGCAGCTCGTCGGACGCTGAGCGGGCTAGCGCAATATTGGGCCCCGCGTAATCAGGATCGTAAAAGCCAGGTTTACGGCCGGTCGAGCTTACGCAAAAACCCAATCATATCCGCGTATAACGCTGCGGGAGAAAAATAGCGTGTAGCTGCGTCACGCGCTCGTAGTGTCGTCGCATAAAATTCCGGATCGACGACAGGGATTTTCGTCCGATCGAATGACCGAGTCGCGGATTTGTGTTATAACTTGATGGCGACAGCGAAGCGGGCATCGCTCTTTATCGCTTTATTTTAATCAGGTGTTATCGAGACGCGAAGAGCGCCTGATTTATCTACACGCGTCGTCGCGCGATTGTAAAATCGTTCCCGGCCATTTCAAGGCAATTTCAAGGGTTTATGACGATACGCTTGATTCGTTTAGAACGCTGTGCGTTTCTACGTTAGCTTCAATTAATTAATCTACCCGCGAAATATTATGAACGAAAGGAGAAAAGAGATTAAGTCTCTAATTTAATAAAAGAAGAGTTAAATGCCGCGGCTTATATTAGAGTCCGACAATTCAGTCGAATGAGTGAGAAGTCACTTTTCTAGATCTTCGCTGTTTGAGATTTTACTCGATGTACAATTTCTAATCGCACAAGTTTTCTCTAAAATTCCTTCGATACTTCGAAGCAGCGAAAAAATTTGTAGCCTACTCTCGCGGCTAATTAATTAAGGGCCGGTTGCTCCAACCTCTTGGTAAGTTAACTAATAATTAAATTACATGTATGTCTTTGTCTTTACTTCAAATTAAACAACGATAGACATATAATGTAACTATTAGCTTACCAAGAGATTAGAAAAACTGGCCCTTAATTAATCTCGTTACAACGAATACACTCACTCTAAAAGCCAATCAGTGGACTATCACTGAAAACAGTATATAAAATAAGATAAAAGAAGATAAATAAGATAAAAGAAGATAATAAGATAAAGTAATGCCCACTGGGCATTAGTGGGCATTGGTGTACAAGATTTTGGTCAGCGGTTTCCCCCTCGGTTATAATATATGTAATATTCGTGAAACGGCATAAGGGTTTTACGAGGCGTTCCCAGTTTTCATCTCTCATTATCTCACAGACGTGCGGCATCTGAATTATGCACGACAGAGATACGTGAATATGCGTTTGTGATACTTTGCGAACCGCCGGATGATCGTGACATTCTTTAACGGTGAACATTGTGATTTTGCGGCGCTCGTAAAATATGGGGCAAATAAATCGAAGATTGGCGCTCTATTTGCACAAACGTGTCGGACCGCGGGCGTGTAAAGCCGGTTCTACATTGGTCGCATCGTAGTGTCGCAATGGTCGTAGACTGTCGAATCTACGATTTGCGACGCTTGCGACGATACGACACGATCAATGTAGAACTAGCCTAACGCAAAGCGAACGAAATGAAGGCTCTCGTGTCGCAAAATGTTGAGAGAAAAGGGCGTGTAAATCTCGACTTAAGCGTAAACTCGCTACGATCATCGCGCGTCTTTCTGCCGGCTTTATCGTGTTATCTTGCACATACGCGGTGCGCGGGGGTAAACGAGCATCGTTACGCTTGCATCAGCATCAAAGGCAAATACGACGAGCGGAAAACGGGGCACGTGGCGGCAGTTTTCAGAACGTGCCGCGCGCATAATGCGTCGGATCGGTTTTTATCGACGCGAGGAGGCAGCGACGGCCTAGAAACGCAATTATCAGCCCCCTCGCGATTCATACACAATTCCGGCCTCCGTATTTCGATGACATTGCGCATTGTCGCGCGCGTTCTTCTGCCGCGAGACGTGTTATTTTCGTGAAACGAGAGGGATTTCTTCGGTGACCCTGACGTTATATCGAGTCGCATACGTAAAAGAAGACTCAACTCGAGAAATCAAGTCGGTAAATTCGCGAATCTGTCAATCTCACGAGAATCGGTCACGTCGGTTTAGTGCTGTTTTTAAATCCGCTTCTTTTTCTGTGTAACAATTTTTCCTTTAATTACTTGAAAAACATAGTAGTCTATTTTAGACAAGAGCGTGAACATGCAAATAACTGGAAAAGTTATTTTTATAGGCAAAGTCCATTTTTCATTCATGTAACGATAACTTCTCACCGTCGTAAAAATATCCGTGCTTGTAAAAAAATTTAGTGCTACTTATGTGCTAATTTGTTACTCCGGATTTTATTGCGACGGTGGGAAGGGCCGCCCCTTGTGGCCTGAGTCTATTTTTTTAATAAGAGGTCCAGTGAAAATGGACATGCGGTAAGAATCGGGGTGTATCCGGAGTTCTCGCGTATCGGAGATTTATTACGCAATAAAATGAAACAGCCGTTGTAAGCTGTCGCTCTACTGGCGACGTTTCGCTTTACTCGCGACATTATTAGGATCGCAATTGCCGACGTCGGGATCGCGGCACATTCAACATCGCACGAAACGCAGCACATGCGTCAGTTCTTTTCTGAAACAGCGCGGCCTGCGTCGGCCATTAACTGTCGTTTTATAACACGAAATACGAGCTTCCTTGCCTCGTAAAATTATTATCGATGAGACTCGCAGTGCGTTACTTACGTCCTCGAATAAGCTGTATTAATCGATATTTGCGTCATACGCAAGTTTAACCGTAAAAATGCTGAATCGTAGTGAGTTAAATATAACGGCGGATTTATGGATTTAATAGACAGCTGGATCTTGATGTAGACTTTATTACAATTTGCTAAAAACAATAAAACTAAATGTACGAACTGATAAGTCACGATCACGTGAACTGCAAATAAAATAATTATCAATTAATAAAAGACAAATAGTATAAATAATTATCATTCAAAATTTGCTCCATCTTCTTTTTCACTGTGTAACGGATAATAATTTTATTATTAATTTTATTATTTCGTAAAATAGCCTTTATTAAACGATATACTTACGAGTGATATAATAATTATTTCTCTTATCTTATATGATATACAGCATTATAACATTAACACATTCTCATAAAGATGATAAATACAATTCTTATAAATTAAGCTGTCTTATTATTATTATTGAAACATATTACGATATTTTTATAATAGAAGTTGTATAAAAATTTGTAGAGTGGGCAATTGTGCATTATTAATTTGGAAAAAAGTTACGATGCAAATCGTTATTTATCATTATATACAAGATACAATTAGTTCAATTACATGTATAATGTGAAATATGTGAAAAATATTAATGGCCTTCAATTAAAAATTGTTTGAACTTGTTTGACTTTAGATTAAACGTTGGTAACAGCGTTAAGAAATTAAATGTGAAATATTGAATGTGACAATTGGACAAACTATGTTAAATAAAATACGTTAATACATGTGTATTTTTAGAAATTCCATTAATACTTTGCACGCAATTATCGATACAATTATTATCATAATTACATATTAAAAATAAACTATTAAATGAAAAGCTGATAAAATGAAGAGAACACACGCGTGAATATTACGATGTCATTATTTACAAATCTGTCTTAAAATATTCCTATACTTAAACTGAACGTTATAACTATTCTCTCTCTCATTCTATCTAATAGTCGTCAAAATACAAAATACATGTGAAAAATAGATGTACATTTTAAAAAGAAAGACCGCTTGAACGATCTTAAAACGCATTCGTACCCCTGCTGCTTTCAACTATGCGTCTTCTTTCTTTTAAAAGCTCCAAAAATTTCGCCCTTGGACTACCGGGATATTTCACGTCCACAGTGAAAGAATCTCCAAGTCTGGGATTCATTAACTCAGTTCTTAAACTGTCTCTTGATCTCCGCGCGATTTCCTTCTCCATGTAAGGCGTTTGTTCCACGATCGAGTTTGTAGAATCTATCAAATAATCCTGATGTTTTATCTCGAAGATCGTCGGCTCGTTTGACGCCTCGATATCTGACAGATTATCGTAATCTTCCGGCGATTCGTTGCAAAATTCTTCAGAATCAATTTTAAAACCGATCGATGTCGTCAAACTGGTATCGTCCGGTTGATCCGAGAGTTGCGTTTTCCTCAATGTCCAGGAGCTACTCTCAATTCCGCGAATGTGGCCGAGATAATCCTCGGCGGTAGAAACTTGGTCGAAATTAAGGATGCCGTGGGTGTCTTGTTGGAAAGTCCCTCGTAACTTGGAGTAAGTTGTCGGGCTTTGCGATCTAAGGTCGGATATTTTCCGGAGGCGTTCCCGTCGGGATTGCTTCAGACTCCAGCATTTACTAAAATCGGCTGCGCCCATTAGTTGATCGAAGATTTTACGCTCGAGATCATCCTCAGTTGTAATATTGTTATTTTTGTCATCAAGATTGCGTTTGTCTATCTCGGTAAGAGCTTGATACTTTTCTAGCCCGTTTAACGTAGACTGTTGCGTCATGTCAATTCGAGTGGCGGGTAAAAGCGGCAAGGGAATCTTGGTAAGACTGGACTCGTCGCAATTCTCAGCGTCATTGTCGGAAACTATGTTCTCGCGGTAATGGATCGAGCTGTCGACGATGCTGGACACCTCGGAGCCTATACTGGGACTCGCTAAACTCGATTTAGCGCCAGCAGACTCGACATCGATGCCATATTTGTCTCGAAGGACCTGGTTATGCTTGCTGACTTTGTCGATACACGCTTCCAATCGCTCGATACCTTTCAAACACTTTGCGTAGGACTCGACAGCAACAACTTCATCATTATCCGGCAGGTATTTGTCAGTGTCATCCTTCAAGCTCACTCTGCGCCCTCGGAACTCTATATAATCTTTATCTGTGCTCGAATTGTTCCCACGACGACCTCGTCTTCTGCGACGCTTTCCATAGTTCTCCAACATGTTCGTGGCACTCATGTACTCGTTGATAGAGTTCATGTTGCGCATGAAGATTATTGCCTCATTCAGGTACTCTTCAAGAATATTTCTCTTCGATGCTGCACGAGAACGAGTGTCTTCATCGATGACATTATCTTCAGCAACCTTGTTGCAAGAATCCTCGCGATGATTCTCGTTGGAAAACTCCACCTTCTCGTCGTTAAGCGTTGCCTCGGAGTCCTCAGACTCATGATTCTCTCTCAACACAGGCAGAACTTCTTCGCTCTTTGTCGATAGGATCGTTTTTTGCTTCAAAGGCTGACCATCTTCGACATTCGATTGAATGATATCCAAACTTTCGGTCACAACCGGCTTTTTCTTCTTCATCTTCTTAATAATAGGCTTTAAGCCCACTTCTGAGGTTCGCTTTGATGCCAGAACTTTGCGACTGGTCACGTCAGACATCTCTTCGAGATTATTGCGATTTGAAAAAGATACTTTTTTCTTGCTGATATTGTCAAGTGGTCTAGTTTTTGCTTCTTCTTCGGAGTCACTGTCTACGATGCGCGACGATGTCCCTAGAATTAATGCTTTGTAATCCTGTATTAGATTCCTCTCCGACAATTCAGCAGATTTTCTCTTCGGAAACTCTATCCGAGTATCATCAAAATCATCGTCTATCGAGGACTCGACGTTCGCCGAATCTCCATGACTTGGCTTCGAAGCTTCCTTTTTCGTGTGCGCAACGACATCCGGAGGACAAAAGCTCTCGTAGTTCATGTCGTCGTTCGAATCCATCGTTTTCGCCTCAGCTGACTTGTTCGCCATGTTGTCTTCATCGTAATCAAGACTGTCGTCCGAAAAATTATAATCGCAGTTTAGTAATAAGTTCTTTAACGAAATAGATTTTGATTTCTTCAAATTCTTGCAACTGTCCTTGGAGTCTTGATCACGCGATTCCTGAGCCGTTTCTTCGGGAGTTGTAGCGACAAAAGTACATTCGCTGTTTATTGTAGAAGAGAAAAAATTATCAATTAGCTCTAAATTAGTGTCTTGTTGCGCAGAAGATGGCATAGTCGTTGTCTCTCTGTGGTAATCGGAATTTTCCGACGATTTTTCTCGACACGGAAGGGTCCAGTTTCTCCATAAATCATGACGGGCAAATCTTTGCGTTGATCTTCTAGGATTCAAACTGTGGCTACGTTTCCTAATGATGAAAGCCTGCGTTAAGCCGCCTCTCGGAATCGGTCGCGTTCTCTGACAAACGTTATCAATGTATATTCCGTTCCATTCCGTCTCCGTGCCGCTCTCTTTCGTCTCGATGGCGGAAGAAGTGCCTAAAGAACTTGTAAAAGTTATCGACTTCTTGATCGCGATTTCCTTCTTCAAATCAGACGTCACGTCATGGTAGCTTTTGCTTCTCGGGTCCTGAAAGATATTCTCGATCCTGAAAACTCTGCCGTCCGCCTGCGTGGCCGTCGATTTGACTGTAAAATCCTTTAAAAGAGATCCTCCAGTTCCGTTTTTAATCTCTTCATCCGTCTGAGCTGCCCTGTCGCTGGAAATAGGCTTCGATTTCTCCTCCACGGCATCGCTGCCGTCCATCACCGCTATCCTCGACTCTAGACCATTCGCGCTCTCGATTGTTATATTAATTGTTTCCGGTAGAGATATAGAGATAACGTTCTTCTCGGGACTGTTCGCTCGTACGTGTTGGCTGAGCTCGTGAATCAGACTGCAGCATTTGCTGTAGCTTCTGCTCTCCGAATTATCTTTCTGCCGACTCGCGGTTTCCAAACGTGGCGTCTGCACCGCCGAATTCCTCCCTGGCGACGCGAGGAACGTGTTGGTCGAGCTATCCACGCACGGCACTCTTTTGTCGCCACCCTCCGGATAAAGCTCGGATACGTCGGCGCTGGACAGATTGCTCTCGGCGTAATTCTGCGCGTCGTCGGAGAGTATACCGGAATCGTTTCGCGGCGAGTGAAGTTCATAGTCGTCGAAGTCGAGATCGGTGGCCAAGCTTCCGACATCCCTGCAGCGGAAGATGCTGGTTTGTGGCCGTCGATCCGTCAGCGTTGCCATGTCCTTCACTCGGAGAACGGGTAATCTGCGATCCGCTATCGCGATTACTGCGACGTCGCCGTCCGCGTGGTCGTCCGTGAGAACCGCTGCGTCTTGGAGCACCACCTTAGGTTCGTCCGTCAGACACGCCGTGTCCTTGAAGCGCAGCGTCGACGCCGCTTCCGTCTGCGTGTCCACGGTGATCCTCCGTCGTTTCATCAGCATCTTCCGCGAAATCTCCTGGAGCCTCGATCGCGCTATGAGACTGCCTGGCATCTTCACGTCGATACCCTCCGGCGGTGAACGCGTACCCGACGTGTTGCTGCTCGCCATGCTGGTCTCCTCCGTGTGCTTTCTGCTGGAGTAGAGTCTTTCCGTGACGGCCGCCACAATCTCGGCGCGTTTTACTTTTTGAATGGCCGTGTGATGTTTTAAACCGCCCACCACCGTCACCGCGGACGTTACCGCGTCCGGATCTAAGGAGCTCTTCCTGCGCGTCAGCTTGTCGCGCGCCAAACTCGAGATCAAGATCTGCTCGTCTTTGGAGCTGCTCGAGCTGCTGTCTTTACTGGTCTTTCTCTTCAAGCTTTCCAAACTCGGTTTTCTGCCGATGTTATTATAGCTACCTGTTCTGTTGGAGTCTTTGAGACTCTTGTCGGACTCGTTGCTGCTCTTCCTCTGCAGGTGGTCCTTGCTGCCGATCGCCCTCCAGATACTTCCCGACTTAACGTTCGCCTTGCGATCGTCGATCTCGCGGATATTATTGAGCTTCTTTCCACGATCGGGCAGCGTCGGGCGTTTCTCCAAATTCGTGTGCGATCGCTGAACACCGACAATTGCTGGTTCTCGCTTCTTGCTAATCCCGTCGATAGAACCGAATTTCTTGGAGACGCTCAAGTTGGACGAGGGTAAATCGACGGAATTTTGCTTACTGAACTTAGCTCTCGGTCTGCTTCTGCCAACGGATGCCGGACTTGCTGGAGGGCATTCTGACGCAATCTGATGAAGGTCAACAATCTCCGAGTCTTTCAAGATGCAGGAATTCGCTGAACTACTGCGATCATCGGGATCGTCGTCGATTCTTTCCGTTCCCTCGAAATCTTCGTTGCTGCCTTCTATAAAATCGGCGTCGATCGAATCTTCTTGCACTTCGTCGGAGCAAATCTCTTCGATATGTGTCGACGATTCTTGCAAGCTGTCGTCCGGCTTGATCAGCACGGCCACCAGCGTCGGTATATCCACGAAAACCGGTTCACTGATCTCGTCCACCACCTCGTCGTCCTCGTCATTCAATTCGGTAACCTTGGCCTGATTATAATTGCCGACGAAACGATCCGAAAGTCGCAGATGCTCGAAGGAGTTGAATTTTCTGATGGGCCCTGAATTGTCCGCCTCGTAAGCCGTCACACTATCACTGGAATTGAATCTTCTTATCGGAAGTATATCGTGAACTCTGTTATCTTTCGATCGTATAGTCTTGTCCTTATGATTGGATTCCTCGGATCGCCAAGTGTTGAATGATTCCTGCTCTTCGCGATACTGAGGATCCGTCGCGGAATCCTTTGAACTTTGAACTTTACCGCAGCAACACGGCGCCTTAGTCTGGTCGATATCCTGCAATAAGATTCGTATAACTGATTTAATTTAAACCGAGAATGGATATGACATATTTGTGTGTATGTGTGTGGGGGGGAGGGAGGGGTAGCAAAATTTCTTTGAGCTGTACGATCCTTTTTCGCCATATTATGCATATGCATAGAGTACTTAAGTTATGCGCTTCTACCATGATTATTTTTAGATAATCTTTTCAATTTTCCTCATATATTATAATATTTTTCACTTTGTTCTTATATATTAAAATTTGCAATAACCTCTCCGTTCTTACTAAAATAATAAATTATATAATTAAAAATTAATATTTAAATCGGCGCTTAAAATTTAAATGATATCAACTTGAACAATTTCTAGCTTTCTGCTTTTGACAAAAAGAGAGAAGCGTTTGATTTTGTTTTAATATTTCCATTTCCAATATACATCATAATTATGATATTCTATCTATCAAAAGAAATTATTATTCTGCATGAATAATATTTTATCTCGGATTTAAAATATGACGCGCAAGCTCGTGGATAGTCGACCAAGTTGCGATTGCGGACGAAGCATGAGGAATTTAATTAATCGGCGATTATGCAACGTGCGGAAATGAAGGATGGAAACTACCTGATGGAAATGGAAACGCTGTTCGCTCGTTAAGCGTAACCCATCGGCGTGCTATATTTTATCAGCAATCGTTCGGCCAATCGCTCGCAACGGGCGCTCAATAAGTGTCAAATAAACGATCAATGAATCTCATTTGCGTAATGACATCGGACAATATCGCGACGCCCCGCTCGTATTGGTAAACCCCGATAATAAACTCGCACACCCTCTCGGGCGCGAGTTAAAGCGCGACTGAAAAATCGGCCGCTATTTATCGCGGATCCGCGCGTTCTACGTCGGGCAAAATTGCGAAATTTGTTTTATAATGCCACGCTATTACCGATCGCGCGCTGCTCGAAACTCATTAATATTTTCTGCCGGCAGCATGCGAATCTCCGGCCGCGTTATAAAGTCGCTCGATCAACATCAGGCCGGGGATTAAATCCTTTTGCGTTTTCAGCCTCGCTTCCGCCGAGCTCGATTTTTCATTTCAGCCACGTCAGAAGACAAACGAGAAAGCGGTGTTAATTTTTATTCGATTAAAATAACACTTCGGCAGATAAAATTTTGTGAAAAATCGAATCATATTTGACTGATATGAAGTAATCCCGAAATGTGTAACGTGCAAATAACTGATATTTTATCGAAATTTTAATTAATATTCAAGTTGTATCACGCCAAATTGCACATAATTATCTTGATTGTTTAAAAAGATTAAATCAGTTTTCTATGTATGCGACGTTTTCACGTCTCTTAATTGTTATTAGATAATTTGTTAGATAATCTCTCGATTGATAACATATTGTATTGGGTCCTGAAACTAATATTTTCTCATCATTTAATTTGCGTAAATTTATAATGAGTAAAATCTTCGGAAATTTCTTGCCTTTTCGAGCAATAGAGATTTCAGTCTGGCGACCTCGGCTCTTAATTCACGGATGATTCTCTCCACGGGGTCCTCGTTGACCACTGGTCGATTGACCACGCTCTGCGCCCTTTGCGCGAATCGTAGGGTGTGCGCGGTCTCGTTGTAACTTCCGCTGGCCGGAGATATCGCTGAAAGAAACAATAAAACTCGCATTAACATCGATACACGATAAAACCGTCGTACGTTCCAACTACTCTATTTAATCGTTACAGTGCGATTTTCTGATTGATACTAGCGGCTGCGGCGCATTTGCATTCCAAGTTAGCGATTAGATTGATCGATAATGGAAAATTGTTTGAGGAATAGTATCTACTTGAAGTGCCTGTCGCGAAATGTCGCAAGGTATCGCAAAATACTGCTTGCCTATTCAGAAACAACTATGGGACCGTGCGAAATATTTTTAGTTTCACTAAAGAGAACGTCGCGTGCATTTTCCAATACAGAGACCCTCGATTTCTTGCTCTTTGGATATAAAATCTATATAAGATTCACCGCATTCATAAATCCGTTAGATACACAGATAATCAGATACCCGCAACGGCGGGCGTCTGTCGAATTAATCGAGAGGAAATGTACGGAACGAAACTCCGCGGATGGACAAGTCAACCGGAAATAACTCGTGGCTCACCGAGAGCTCGATAATCCGAAATAAATTTTCAAGCGGACGGTATCTTTTCCGGATACGTCGTGCTGCGGAATCGACGGATAAAATCCGCCACCGCGGCGACAGTGTGCGGTCCGTGGGATAATGTAATATGTCTATTCATCTACGCACTACGCTCAATCACACATGCGGGCCCGTTGAATATTAAACGTCTCCCCGATAATAAACCGAAATGCTATTAGCAATTCAATTAATTGCCGATGATCAACGGTTCGGAATATTCCGCTACGATTAATTATACACGTCGCCGGGCCGGCTAGAAGTATTCGCAAAACTCGCCGCGCCGCCGTTGTTCCCCGACCAATTGTACGGATCGTGCAATCGACTCTTCCATTTCGGCAATTAATTGTGACGAATCGGAAGAGGGAAGACTGGCGCGCCTTCCCTTGATTAACGTCTCTCTACGCCGCCGACTCAATTACGTCAGTTTCGTTGGTTTATCACGGGACGATAGAAGAGATAAAAATGTCATGACGATCAACGAATCCAAGTCAACAGTTAAATAAAAGGTAGAAGAGTGTGCTTTTCCTCTCCGTAGATCAATTTCACGTCGAGTGTGATGTATCTTACGAATTACCATGTTTTTCGTACGTACGATCGTCAAATTTAATTACAAATTCAATCAAAGAAGATTAAGCAGGAGCGGACAGACATTCCACAATTAATAATTCATATTCGTCTCCAAAGTGGAGATCCGTACATTGTATATTTTATCGTTAGTATGTTAGTTTCAAACCTAATTTAGTTTGATTTTAACTGGAGGGAAAGATGTCAATTTTTGCTCGAAAAGATGAAGATTTAACTATTAGTACCGTGTAACGCAACCTTCTCTACGTGCTTTATCTAACTACGATAGGTTTCTACGGGAAGATAGCGTTTCCCTACTTTCAAATAGCAATTTCAAACGTTAATGGTCTTTCATGACGACGATGGTTTTCTTAAATTTTTCAATTCTGTCCAATTCGCGTAACGTTTGTTCCCTTAAAAAAACACTGTTGCGAAGATTAATGTAATCAAAGGGAGTCGAATATAACCAGGCAAAACCCTTCTAAAGTGATGCTACGATGAAAGACAAAACCGTCATAAACAGTTTAGTTTACTAGAGCAATCGGATTAAGTTTCTAAATGTATTTAACATGCTTTCTACAAAGTTAAAGTTTTAATATTATGAAACAAATTTAAAGCGAATATTATTAAAAGTGTATTAAAATTTACATAAAACTTCGAGTATGTTTAAATATTTCACAATTAAGTTAATTATTTAATTAATTAATGGTTTAAAAACATTCTTTACGCGTAATCATTACTAGCTTACTAATTGCTATTGTTCATATTGATTTAATTTGCTCTGGTATTGGTTTTCAATAATCTTTTATTAAATCTATAGGCACTGGTGTTTATATTTTATATCGTATAGCTGCGAAGCGTTTATCTTTGTATTGCGTTATTAAAATTATTGAATTATGTTTAATAACGACTACCATACACTGTGGGAAGAATATTGGCGATGAATCGATCACGTAGCTACTGTCGCAAGCTCACTACAGATTTCTTATTTACCGCTTTTCGCGTCTCTCTATCTCGGCTCTATTGAAATTTAATCTCCGCGTCTTAGCTCGCCTGGAAAAGCATTTAAACCAATTACATCCAGCCCGGGTTATCGCAAATGGGAATAATTTCACGAATATCGCAATAATATTTCTCCTCCGACAATTAATGGAATTTATGAGAAGCCGAAGAATTTTCGCTACAATCACGAAACGTTCTCGAAGAAAAAACACTTGGCTGATTTGAGTGATCTTTACGAGAAATACGAGAGAGACCAAAGAAACGTGAAGCAAATTGATTAACTACGGCCGATCGTAATTAACTCTTTTGGTGAGAGGCTCGCACTAAAAGGGTCAATTAAGCAATGTCGAATTGGTCGTTGGATTTCAATCTGCGCGCGAGAACGGTGCGTCGTAGCTAGCAACAGAAAGGATATTAAAATGGAGGGTTCGAGATCAAAAGAGGGGAAATGCGAGCTTATAATTTCCTCGCGAAAATACACACGGCGAAACGCGATTTGCGCGGGCAAAATATTCCCTAAAGGAAGCCCCTTAATGCCGATGGAACGTTCTAAGATCGCGAACGCTGGAAAAGGGGGAGAATACGAATTTAGGGAAGAGACGGTAGGGGGAAGATCAAAAGGAAAATACCGGTAGACACTTACTGGCGAGCATAATGGTGGTGGCATTTCCGCCGAGTGCATCCTTCAACAGCCAAGTGAGCGAAGAGTCTCTGTAAGGGATGTATCTTCTTCCCGGCCTATTTCCGGTTGAGCCTCTCTCGGCGAGTGCGGATATCACGTTGCCTAAAGCCACCAGGCTCTTGTTGATATTCGCACCTTCCTATAGGCGATGCAAAAAAAAACAAGAGTGATGCGACAGTAATGTCAAAATTATTAGCTTACTTTGATATTTTTTCATCAGCATATTTTTATTTCTTATTCTCAATTCTGTAAGAAAAAAAATTTCGAATGTCAATAATTATTTCCTTTCGTATCAAAGTAAATGTTAAATGCAAAAATATTGCAACCGATTGTGATAACATTCCACGTGTTTTTGAAGTGATAAATGCACGTCTATCAGCATTTGTGTACAGTTGTAAACCTTGTTAGTTTAACGTATGAATTTTTAATCACAAAAACATACTTTGGCTTTCATACGTGAAATACTATTAGCGATGATTCTTGAATCTTTGCAACGTCGTGATGATTCTTTCCGTATCGTAGGAGGCATGATCGCATCAACGTCGATGCTTATTCACGTAATAAATCGCTCGTGAATTATAGTTGATAGACCATTAACACAGATCTTATTCACATAATATCTTTCACCTAACACATTAAATCCGTATCGAAAATTAAATCCAGTTTCACACGGTGCACATATACACCGCACAGAACTATACATGAAAATGGAGACAGGTGTTAGATATCACCAACGGGCATTAGACCTTTCAAACACTTGTGCCCCAATAATTATGGATAAATCGAGATATCCGTCGATATGGAGAGAAAAAGGTTTTCAACGACACTACAGTTTTAGATTTGTCCCAACGCTTCCTCGCGCTCGTTTTACACGCTTGTTACTTCGGCGAGTGACTCCGGCGGTCGATTAGGCGAGTCTATTAGGCGCGCGACGCGGCGGCCAGGACGAGATTGATAACGGGGCTCTATCCATCCGCGAAGCGGGCCCGCGCGAATATCGATTTTCATCGCGCGAAATTCAGCCGGCGAATATTCCGGCGGACGATATTATTTTTAGGAAATGACTCACCTTCAGTCGATGAACGCCGCTGCAGGTGGCCGCGCTCTCGCTGCCCGCCAGATCGACTAGGTGTAACCTGCTACCGCCGCGCGGAGTGGCGTCCTGCCTCCTGGAGGACGAGCAAGTACCACTGCCGTTAGGACGCTCGGCGTCGGCCGTCTCCTGCGAGAGGTCGACGGTCAGCAGAGCGTGGCTACGACTGCTGCTGGGGTTCTGAAGTGTCGACGCTGTCTTCCTGGCCTTCGTGCCCTCCTCCACGTATGATATCAACGACTCCAGGGTACGAACCACATGGTGCGTTAATCCTAAAAGGAACGAAGATCGTTTAAGCGAGAGAAACGGGGGGGGGGGGGTCGTCGATGGCAAAACGTAGCGATCAATTCGTATCAGGATTGCGAGACGTTGATCGGTTGAGTTTCATTGTTGGAATAGATTACGACGGTGAGTAGATAATGACGTGAAACGATGCAGAAATGTTTGAGAAATTATACTCGAGGAAAGCTTTATCGTTACAAAAATCGTGGAATTTCGTGACACAAAAGTTATACTAGCACTCTAGAATTCGAAAACGACAGGATTGGAGAATCAACCAATTCAAGGATTTTACAATCTGAGAATAGTTTAATCGATCGAAGGCTCAAGGATGCAAGTATGTAATCGCTTAAGATTAGAAGATTCAGAATGCATCTATTTTTACGTGGGGAATAATAGTGATCCCATTAAACATAAACTTTTTAATTTAATAAAAATATAATTAACACTTTTTAATATACAAGAGGAATAATTAAAAAATAAAGCTGCAAACATTACTCGCAGGATTAATGATACATGTAATGCGATAATGTTTAACAAACCGTATTTATTTTTGTTTTTTGGACTATAACAATGGCGAATGAGAGAAATATAGCGTGCAGAAAAGATAGCCGCGGAGCGAGATAAAGGAAGATTTAAACAGCGCAGAACTTAGGTACACACTGAGAGTAAGAAGACTCTCGAAGAATTTTAGCCGACGTCCTCCGTTCGCAACGTTTCACGGTAAACGAGCGGAGTACCTTGAACGTAAGGTCCTAGTCGAGGATGTTCTCGAACTCGGAGACCGCTCGTGCTCGTCGACGGTTTCAGGAGATCCCTCACCCTCTCGTTGTATATCTCCAGATAACTGAAACAGATCCATTACATACAATTTTATAAAAAGACTCCCGTGAAATTGTCGTAACCGTAAATGTGTAATCATCTCTCGTGGCTTTCCTTATATTTTCTCTTCTTCCATCACTTATACAGGTATCTCTTCTATATAAATTATATCTAAAACATTGAGGATATCAATTATTGTGTGGGGATAAATCTACCGATTCTTATCGAGCGCAATTATTCGTCAATATTCACTAATGACATCGATGGCATAATAATATAATATTTTCAATATTTGAGTAAACACTATAACTTGATTCTTTTGCAAGCTACCAATTGTTTCAACGAATTACATATTCGATGTACAAAATATATTATTAATTAAAGCTCATTTTAGATGATTTGCAATTTATATTGGAATTCAAGATATATTAATCTATTACATTCTGATACGTTGATATTCTATTTGGAATATTATGTGCCGTTAATAAAAAGAAATCGAAGAATTAGAACATATATACGAAA